GAACAATAAAGAAAATGTGGGGAATTGCTAAAAACTGGTAAATTTAGATAAACATTATGGAGTAGTTCTATGGATTTTTTTTTTCCTATGGATTATTTTTCTCCACATTTTTCTGATAGTTTATAATGATCTCCAAATAAAAGGATGATAGAAAACAAGCAAACAAAAACATTAGTATTCTGGAAATTACCTCAGTATAAGGAATGGCCAAGGTGCAGGAGCCTCTTTAAAGAATCTTAAGACTTCTGGTTTTTACCTGGTCATGGTTTTCATGTTCTGGTGGAATTTTTGCCATAATTTTTCTGTCTTTTCCATGCCTTGCGGCAGTGGCAGAGGTGGTGACTGCAGTCTACCTTAAGGTTAAAAACACCTGCCTACCAGCCTCTCATCCTGCTATGTATCCTCTTCAATTATATCTTCCCTACAATTTAGAGGTGACATCAACAAAACAGTAACAAGTAATTAACAATTAATTTCCTAAGGATATTAATTATCATGAGGTTGTGTGTCCACAGTACTAAAATATATAGTTAATTTAGGAGGGATAAGGCTACAGAAACATTCAATCTATCTCTTTGGCACTGAGCGACTGAATTTTTTATTTTATTTTTATTTCGATACTAGGGGCCTGGTGCACAAATTCATGCACAGGAGGGGGGGGTCCCTCTGCCCGACCTGCACCCTCTCCAATCTGGGAGCCCTCAGGGGATGTCCTACTGACGGCTTAGGCCTGCTCCCCGTGGTTCTCTGCTCTCGGCGGACCTGCCTGCTTGACACCATCGCAGGCCCTGGTGTCTGCTCTCTGTGGGAGCCTGCTTGCCCTTCGCCGCCGGGGCGAGGGGCAAGCAGGGCCCTGCTGTCTGCTCTCTGTGGGGGCCTGCGGGGGACTGCTTGCCCCTCGCTGCCATGCCAGTGGCAAGCAGCGACCTGCTATCTGCTCGCTTGCTGTGGGGGACGTTCCCACCCCGCCCCCGGCCGCTTGCATGTGCACCAGCTCAGAGCACCTGGGTCCTGGGGATGTTCCTGCCCCGCCCTCGGCCACTCGGCGCCTGTGAGCGTAGGCCTGGAGTGGCTGGGGGTGTTCCAGGACCCCGGCTGCTTTGGGCCTACACGTGGGCCTACAGGCTCAGAGCAGCCTGGGTCCCGAGGACACCCATCCCCAGGACCCAGGCTGCTTGGCACCAGCATGTGCGCAAGTGGCTGCCCCGCCCCTGGCCACTCAGCGCCTGCGTATGCAAATTAACCGGCCATCTTTGTTGGGTTAATTTGCATACTCACTCCTGATTGGCTGGTGGACATCACAGAGGGACAGTCAGTTTGCATCTTTCTCTTTTATTAGTGTAGATCAGTGATGGTGAACCTTTTGAGCTCGGCGTGTCAGCATTTTGAAAAACCCTAACTTAACTCTGGTGCCATGTCACATACAGAAATTTTTTGATATTTATTTTATATATTTAAATGCCATTTAACAAAGAAAAATCAACCAAAAAAATGAGTTCACGTGTCACCTCTGACACACGTGTCATAGGTTCGCCATCACTGGTGTAGATTGTCATTTGTATGAACTAACCATCTCTACTATAATGGGCACAGCATTACAGATGTGTGAGGAGTTTTGATTCTAGCCAGTCTGGCCTCTTAAGTCATAGAAGTGGAGCTTATATCATAGTCAAGTGAAAAGTAAATTATTTGTTTGTATAAACTGTCTGGAAAATATTTGAATTTTACTATTTTGTATTTTAAATAAGCTAAATATCATTCAAACCCTGAGGGTCTTATCTTATAAATGACATCAAACAAATCTGAATTGTTAGTGTTTGTTTCCTGTCTGATTGGGGTAGCTCATGATTCATCATGCCCAAACCTTTTTCTTCTCACTTTACAAAAAAGTTTGGTTAGAATTGAGAAACAATGGCTCTGACTTACCTTAATCTCTCAAGTAGAAGTACTTCATCAAAACTGTCATTTTTCTATAATTAGGACAAAAAGATAATTTTGCTACTTGATCCCACAGCTATTTCAGGCCCATTTACTAGTAATACCTAAGAAGCTAAGTCCTAATGAGAGACCTGGGCCTCATTGACTGACTAATGCCCATTCCTATCAGTGTGTCTTAAGATTTAGTGAGGTACTTCATATGCTTATATAGTAAATTGTCTAGAAGGCTATGGAATAGGTCATGCTCATGAATACTATTTGGTTAATTGTGTGAGGTTCTTTTTTGATAGCCCTGTAAACCCACTCACCACATTTCAAAAAAAATAAGAATGTACCAAAAATATAATTGAACTTAAATATTGTTGAACATTTGCCTAGCTGGCATGGCTCAGTGGTTGAGTATCAACCTATGAACCAGAAGGTCACGATGCGATTTGCGGTCGGGGCACAAGCCCACTTTGTGGGCTCGCTCCCCAGTCGTGGGGCGTGTGGGCAGCAAGTAATCCATGATTCTCTCTCATCATTGATATTTCTATCTCTTTTTCCCTCTCCCTTCCTCTCTGAAATCAATAGAAATATATTTTTAAAGTATATTATTGAACATTGTTTAATCCTTTTTTTAATTATTTACAACACATTTTAGGATCTTGCAAATGTTCATGGTCATTATTTTGAAAGGAGTTCTCATAATATCACTCTCCAGATACAGAATAATAGAGAGTGGACTGTGTCTATACTGATTTAGGACATCTCTTTTACATTCTTGATATTCTTATATTAGCTTGTATTAATAAAGGAAGAAAATAATTCTACCTTACGTTTCAGGAAATTGAACTTCATATGATCCGTGAAAATAAAGCATCTCAAGGTTCTTCACATACATCCAGGAAAACCCGCATAGTAACACTGCACTCAGAACTTTCAGTGGTTTAGACCAAGAAGTCATGATTCTAAGAACAAAGTTCAAAATAATCTCTTTTGGGAATTAGGTTCTATTCAGAAGTAAGGATTTATCCAACCAAAAAGCAATAACTTTTTCAAACAAAGAACTCGAGGAGTTATGTCTAATTGTGGCTTACTTACCATTTATATATAATTATTTTCAAATCTGTAATCCAGTAATTAATTCTTATATTACCTAAAATGTTTTATAGACATGTTATATTATTATGTAATGTAACCCTATTATAAATGGCAATGGTGTTATTAACTTAGCTCGTTTTACTTATTTAGTGCTTGTTTGTTCTTAGTTTATAGTTGTTAATTCCCTTTATAGTATGACTTGTACTTGGAAGTAATAAAACTAGATTTCTTTATAAATATTTATGGTACAGACCTTTTCCTAAATCAGACTTAGCCCTTTCCTAATTATTTCAATAAAGTCTGCTTACATCTTTTTTTCCCTGTGTAACAGTATGTCCTGCATGCTCCCTAGAATTTTAATCCTAGGTAACTATGCCTTAACTTCCAATTAATCAAAATCTTGTTAACTGCCATGTAGGTTCTGGTGTTACAGCGTGTGGAAAGTTAGTTATTCAGAGTTTAAGTAGATGCTTCTGGTATGGGGTCTTCTTAGCACCTACAGCCATGTGGTCAAAAGGGACCACTAAGTGAATGAGCCCTTCTTGACTATCAGTCTTTCCAAGAGGATCTTTTTTTGCATTTTCAAATCTATGTTTACCTATTATTGAAAGTATTTATTAGCTTCAGGTACCAGAAGGCAGACAGAACATGGTGTTTGTTTGTTTGTGATTTTAAGTTCTTTACTAAGACCTTAAGGTTCTCAAGATCTCCTTTTCCCTTCTCTCTTGATCTTAGGTGAGACTGAAGTTTACAAGTCTTTGACCACATTGTCCCCATAGGGATGCAAATTTGTGATTTCAGAAGTTCCAGCCCCCAATAAAGAGCACTATACAATCTTTTGCAGATGTCCTCTGGGCCAGATTTCATCACAAATAACTTCATTCCATTGTCATGTGCCAAGTTTAAAGTACTGTATTAGGTTACTCTGTAGTCAAATCAACCAAGCCCTGGTCCAGACTGCTGTGAGACAAGAGCCCATTGTGTCCTGGTGGCTCAGTTGGTTGGTTCATTGTCCTATACACCAAAAAGGTTGCGGGTTCGATTTTGGTCAGGGTACAAACCCATGGTGCAGGTTTGATCCCCAGTCAGGCCACATACAGGAGGTAACTGATTGATATTTCTCTCATCTCAATGTTTCTCTTTCCCTCTCTCTCTAAAACCAATAAACATATCCTTGGGTGAGGATTAAAAAAAGAGAGAGGGAACCCATTGAGTTGTTCTGCCCATACATTCAGTGGCAGCTTTCCCTTTTGCTAGTTGACATATAGTTTAAAGGAAATAGTGACTCCATACTAAAGCATAACCAGGTTAGGTTATTGTAATAAGCCAAAAAAAAAAAAATCAGTAACCCTTGACCTTGGCATGAAGTATTATAATAGAATAATAGTTGCATTTTTATTGTGCTGTTGTGATTTTCTGTAAAGAAACACCCAAGAGGAATCATTATTTCTACTTTTAAAATTTATAGCCCTTTACTGTATCCAGGATTTCACTTCCCAGAATGCAGTCAAGCTTGAAGCTTTATTAGAGATCCATGATCCAGTCCTTATAAACACTTCCTTTAGCTTATCGTTTCTGTTCAAGAATTTGCACTGTCCATAAAGGTACTGTTACCACATACAGTCGTTCCCCCAAAAATGAACCACCTAGGTATAACTCTGAACAAAAATCCATCTGTATGCTAAAAATTACCCAAAAAGCCCTGCTTACAGATGCCTTTGCACCTTGGTTCCTGAGTGCTCACATACAGCCTGGAGCTCATGTCTCTTTGAAAGATGAATGATGAAGGAGCTTCAGCTCTAATGGGTGAGTTTGTATATTGAGTATTACAAAGAGAAGTCAGTCTGCCTTTCTCTGGCTCTAATTGCAGAAAGTGAAGTCACCGCTTTTGCTGTCTTGGATCAGGACCAGGAAGAAATTATTGATACCAATGGAGCCGGAGATGCATTTGTTGGAGGTACCGACTCATTTATTTTATACTTATAAGTTAAACATTTCCTTAACCCTTGTCTCTACCAGATAGCCAAGATTTATGAATTTAATAGCTTTTAATTTCTTCTTTTAAATAATTAACTCCTAATGTTCTTTCCATATGCTACTATCACTGTAAGTATTAAGAAGGTATTTTACTACAGGGAAAATATGTATTTTTGACTTAAATATAATTTACTATTGTGCTATCCCCTAGTCATTTTCACAAGATTAATTGTGTCTGTCAGAATATTGCACAAACAAGCTGCATCAAGTACAGTGTGTAGTGTATTCATAGCCCTTTGGGCTTAAATGTTAACACATTGTTGTTCTTTAAGACAAATTGTGATAAATATTAAACAGTATGCTGCTAATAGCTAAGGATTATATTATTTGGTTAACATGTGTTTCTAACATAATAGTTGGATGTTTATCTTATTAGGAAGAGTTAAATATTTGTCTGGTTCAGGCTTAGCAAGAACTGGGACCATTTATAAAGACCATTTATAAAGACCATATTATTTTTGAAATGAGTACTCAAAAACAAGATCAAGATAATTAGGAGATTCTTGGCTTCATTACTTAGATTGATCTAAAATCTGGTTCAAAGGTTCTTTTGATACATCTAAACTCCTTCTAGTTAAGTGTAGGTAAGCTAGGTTATGGTGTGTGTAAAGCTGTAGATTTTAGAATGATAACCCACAAGAGTGCCTCCTGATCTGTTTACTTCTCATACCATCAAGCATGACAAGGAAAAAAAAGGCAAATGGAGCTGACCATTGTCCTTCTTCTCTTGAAAAATAATTTGAATCATGGTAAACATTTAAGATTGTGTGGTGGTTTTAACTCAGTATCGTTCAAAATACATATATATGTATGTATGTATGTATTTTAATGGTCTTTTGTAGCACCATAAATATTTCATATTTTCTTCTTTGAAGCTATTCATGCTTAGTCTTAAATGAGCAGTTAACCATTAGACTGGTAGCATGCCCCATGCTCTTTTCTTTGCTTTGAAAGGCTTCATCATTGATTAGAGTATTTTGCAGCTATTTTTTTCTATTCCATACTGCTTCAGAGCTGTAACTCCATGCAGGCTAAAAATATCTCATCCAGAATTGGGCCAACTTCTGTAACACATTAAGGAAACACTATTGATTTCCTGGTTAGAAATTGCTTAAAACAGGAATCTTAGTACAGAAACTTTTAAACTTGTCTCCATGTAGCCTTTTTAAGTAAAATATTTAAAACTTTAAGTGTTCTCTATTTTTATATTTCGGAGGGTAAATGATGGTAACCTAATGGGGCTCTGGGCTATCTGGCTCTGCAACACCAGATTCCCTTCCAGACCCCTGGTTACCTGTAGTGCTTCCAGTAGTAGGGAAGAACAGAGACTTTTTGAGGGAGAGAGAAATCATTCTTAGGATACTGATGCAGAACAGCTAGCTCCCCATTTGTATTGTGCTTAAGGTGATGCATGGACTGCCTCAGCAAAGCACTTGGGTTCTTTGTTAAGGATTTTCAGCCTCTTTTTTATCTTATTCTACTTGCCTAGCTTCATTATATATTTACTGTCAGGGTACAGTGAGGTAAATAAAGAGGGAAGAGTGCGGAACTTTTTGTAAAGGACCACATAGTGAAAATTTTAGGCTTTGCAAGCCATATACAGGCTGCGTTGCATAGTTTTCTTGTTCTGTTTGCTTGATTGCTTATTTTCTGTTTTCTTTTTTTCTTTTTACACTAAAATGTAAAAACCTTCCTTAGCTGTACAAAAACCGGCCACAGGCTGGATTTGGCCTTCAGTCTGTAGTTTGCTAACCCCTTTTAAAGACATGACAGCTTCCTCACTCTATTCACTTTCATCATACCCTGGATCCAAACACTGCATTTCACTACACATTGCTGGAATCAGTACAGACAAAGAAGAAGGCAGGCTGGTACTACTGCTGGTTCCTCAATTAGGGAGCCATTTTTTCTCCCTTTAACTCTACTCTGATCAGTTCCCATGATAATGAGATCTTGAAAGACTGAGTCATGCAATGAGATGAATATGCTGTCATTTTGGCAATGGAATACTTATGTCAACATGTTCAGCACACTCTATGTAAGTCAAGCTGTATAGCAATAGATAAATTTATATAGCATCTATGAGCCAATTCATACCTTAAGCACTTTACATATATTAACTCATATAATGTTCATAAAAGCTCCTGGCAGTTCATTTTATTGATGAGAAAACTGAGACATATAGGGGTTAGGTAACTTGCCTAAAGTCTCATAGCTAGAAAGTAGCAGAATCAGGATTCACACCAGGCATCTGGCCCCAGAGGCAGTGCTCTTACTCACTGCACTTTTAGGGACATCTCATTAGGATAGAGCACCACAGACCAGCCCTACTAACAAAAGCTGGTTTTGCCAGAGAGAAACTTCCTCTCATCTGAATAGATGACTTTATTTATTGAACAGGAGCTTTTGTTATCTGATGGGATTCTCAGGACTGTAGGGTAAGATTGTTGCAAAAAAGAGAGGAGAAAGGGTAGGGAATCGAAGGACTGTAGTCCCTGGTGAGTTTGAACCAGGAGCTTTTCCTAAGCAATAGAATTGATTGCACTACAGAGATCCAGAAAGCCAGATCATAAACTTGCTTGGTCAGCATATAAGAAGTTATATGAATCATCTGTTTAGTAGCACCAGGCCAATACATCCATCTTACAATAAAGGAGGTATTGTTAGTTTAAAATACAGAAAAATCCATTGGCTAAAAACCCCTACTCCCATCTCTACACCAAGGAACTCCTTTCTGCTAGGATTTGAAATAATCCAGCCGTGGGAGCAAACTCCTCTACCTTGCAAATGAATGGAGAGGCAATGACAAGTTTTACATTTACTGTGTAGTTCCTTTTTCTTTGTTTTCTTGCCTGATTATTATTATACTAGAAGCCCAGTGCATGAAATTCATGCGCAGGTAGGGTCCCTAGGCCTGGCCAGAGATCAGGGCCGATCAGATTCCCTGCCTCCCTGCCTCCTCCTTCCCTCGCTCCCTCAGCGCCCCACCGACACTGGTTGCCCGCCATGTTCTGTGCTGCCCCCTGGTGGTCAGCACACGTCATAGCAAGCAATCAAACTCCTGGTCTCCTGGTCGAACTCCTGAGGGGACACATTGCATATTAGCCTTTTATATATATAGATCTCCTTTCTGAGTGACACATTCCATCTTTAGATAGTTAATATATGCTCCTATTACTTTCAATTTTTGCTGGCTTAAGAGTGTTTCTGTCTTTTGTGACTTTGCATAACAATATATCATTCTCAAATTTAACTTCTTAGATAAAGCATCCCCTCACCTACCTTGTGCTAATTACATATCTCAGTACCAGAGTACCATGTGTTCCTATTAGCCACATAAAATATATATGGCTACATCATAGGTTTTCATGTATAATTTAAAAATGAATACCCCAAATGTATATAAGTTGAATTCATAGTTCCATCTCAAGGGTTTAGTGACAGTGACAAATCCTTCAGCCTCTACAAGCACACCTCCTTGTTCTATCTATTTGGGGTTCTGAAGCACTTTGTCACATTTGCCCTTTATTTGTCACTAGCCAGCTCTCATGGAACTACCCTTTTCACATTCTCCCTCAAAAGCCCAAGTGCTACAATTGTACCCTTGGAAATGGAGACAATTCTATAATCTCTAAGTACGATTTCCTAATTTCCCAGGTCAGGAGGAAATTTCTTCCCGTTGTCCTGTTGCGCTTAGTCACAGCAGGTCTGCCCTTTCATTTGGAACCCTCTTTGTCACTGCCATAGTAACAAATGGAAACATTGAGAACATTTTGTGACAGGCACTGTCATTGTTCCTGATGAAATCTCTTCCCCCGTGTCTTCCCAGTAAGTGAAACTGAGGGAAAAAATCATAACAAGTACATGAAAGGAGACCTAACAATATGTTTCCAGTAGGCTGTCAATATGAACTTATGTTAATCTAATGATTTAGTCGAATATTTTATGGCAGTTGTAAAAATATGGTCTAGACCTACAAATTATCTTTAGACTAAAAATGAGTATGCCTTTGCCAGGCACATAGATATAACTCAGAAAAATGACTAGAGACCTTACCTAAGGACCAACATTCTTAGAATTAAAAAAGCTTCATTAGCCCTGCTAGTGTTGCTCAGTGGTTGAGCATCAGCCTATGAACCAGGAGGTCACGGTTCAATTCCCGGTCAGGGCACATGGCCAGATTACAGGCTCGATCCCCAGTACCAGGCATGCAGGAGGCAGCTGATCAATGATTCTCTCTCATCATTGATGTTTCTATCTCTCTCTCCTCTCCCTTCCTCTCTGAAATCAATAGAAATGTGTGGGGTTTTTTAAAGCTTCATTAAATGTGGTTAAGAGCCCTACATAGCTTAGCACAGTTTAGTATTTTGAAGGATGGTCAGGTAACTGTGCTGCCTCTAATACTTTTTATTTTTAAATTTCTCATAACTTTAGCAGAGAAAGTATATTACCCTAAAGATATTACCTACAATATGCATATGACTCTTAAAGCCACATAGCAATCACAATGTAAGTAATTATTCTATTTCCCATCTAATAAAAGGGAGCACTAATTTCACTTTCTAATTAATGTTCAGAAAAGAATTTTGGTTAAAAAAGGAAAAAAAGATTTAAGTTTCCAGAACAGGGATGCTATTTCCTTTCCATGTAGCACCTGCCTATACTTCTGGCAGCCATTGAGATTCTTTAAATTATCTTCATATTTCCTATTCTCACTTTGTTTGTTCCCAAACACTTTTAGCTTACTTTCCCATTCTTCGTAATTGCTGCTTCATTGCGCTATGCAAAGAAGTGATGCAGAATTCTTATGATTTATTTTTCTGCACCACCTTCTTCCTTTGCTGTTAGACTCAGAAGAGTAGAAAATTAAATATATCATTTCTCACACTTCTTTGCTTAAAAAACCAAAACCTTGATATGGCCCACTGTATGTAGAGAACTTACCTGCTGATAACTGAGGTTAGATCTGCACACCCCTACCCCACCCAGAGCCACAATAACCTTTCATCTTTTAACTCTAGTAGGACATCTTGGTGTTTTATTTCTTAAGCAGCACTTTTCCTTAAAACCATCAAATGAAGTATAGAATTGAATTGGTCATTAGGAATATGAAATTTACCACAGACAGTAGCTCAAGTTCATGCAGGGGGAAAGGGAATGGGGGCTCACACCTTGCACAGTCACAGGACACTTTATGATAGGCTACTCTAGTGTTACACACTCAGAGATGTAGATAAGCTGACGTAGGAGGAGAACCACATTTCAAGAACCCTGCCTAAGAGTACTTAAGCCCATATTAGTTAAAAGAGGCACAGTTGATTCCCAAGCCATGACAGAAAAGAGAAATAACATTGATTCACCTGGAATACAGGATGATTTTAGGGTGAAGTCTGGAATATCTCACAAGCATGAAATGTTCTCTCAGAGATCTAGTACCCTGGGTGGCCTCCATCTAGATGCAGTTATAAACAGGTAATGGAATCCAAAGGACTTTATCTTCTGGAGATTTGGATAAGACAGAGACACTAGGTTATCAAACCCCCAAGCTCAAATATGAACCTTATGTTCCTATATTTGAATATAATTTTGAAAGTTTATTCTAAGAAAACAGTGTTGATATTTATAAAATTTTATTTATTTGCAGAGGGCCAGAGGAAATGTCATAAGCAAAATTTCTGAAGTTAACTTTCTTAGACATGACAAAATATGTGTGCATCAGTTTTCTGGCCTAGAATATTTGTAAGTCAAATGGAACTAATTATAATCCAATAGTGATCCCAGTTGCTATTATATGGATTGAGTCAGTTTTACCTACCATATCTGTCTGATTCATACAACATGTATCAATTAGCTTTTGCTGCATATCAGCACCCCCAAAAACTTAATCTAAAACAACAACTGTTTATTTAGCTTCACAAATCTGGGATTGGCATCTGGGCCTAGGCTCAGCTGGACAGTTCCTCTGGTCTCAGAGGTTTGAAGATCAAGTAATTTGCCCAAGGTCACAGTGAAAGCCAGGATTCAAACTCAAAGTTTGACCCAAGAGTTCTTACCCCTAATCATTTTGTTACTGCATTCCATTAGTATATTGAAATAGCCAAAGTGGTTTTTTAAACACTAGTGTGTAGACTGGTACCAATCTCTGACCTAACAAATTTAATCAATCATTAATAGCGAAATGAAAATAGGTAGCAATATAGTAAGTTTTCATAAAGCTAAATGTATTCAAGTTTAATTTTGTCTAAGTGATGTTTAAATTTGTTATAGTAGCCCTAACCGGTTTGGCTCAGTGGATAGAGCGTCGGCCTGTGGACTAAAAGGTCCCAGGTTCGATTCCGGTCAAGGGCATGTACCTTGGTTGCGGTCACATCCCCAGTTGGGGGTGTGCAGGAGGCAGCTGATCGATGTTTCTCTCTCATCAGTGTTTCTAACTCTCTATCCCAGTCCCTTCCTCTCTGTGAATAATCAATAAAATATATTTAAAAAATAAATAAATATTTGTTATAGTATATCTTTATTGGCTTTGTAATTCATGTAATCAAAAAATAAAATCTCATGTTGGTAATGCTGATGCATAGCCTTGCCAACCTTGGGACCTAGCAGAGTCTTAGCCATGATAAGTAGTCATTAGAAACAATTTTCAAAACTACATAAAAATTTGTATGAGATGTAACTTCTGATGTTGTAAGGCTGCTTGCTATCAACAGAGGTCTAAATAAAACAAATGAAAATTAGCAACACGATTACTAAATTCATACCTATTTTCACTTCAGATATATGAATTCCCAAATATGGGGCGTAAACACAGGCTCTTAATTTATTTTGCCTTTAATTATACAGCTATCATTGACATTTTATAGAGTTAAGATGTGTATATTTCCAGCCCATGAAATAGATGACAAATTAAAATCAGTTTCTGTCATCAAATGCTCTTAAAATTTTAGAACCACCCTGCTGTCAGGAGTTGTCAGTTGATAAAGTACAGGCTTTTGAATTGAGGTAAATATTAACAAAATTTGTTATCTTGCTAATGAATTAAGACATAAATAAGCTCACATAAATAAGCTTACTATCATCTCCTTTATCCAGCAGCTAAGACTTTGTATCGATGGGTCTTTAACATATTGCTTAAAATGTCAGTGCCGAAAGTGAGTATTTTTAAAGATCATATTTTCAGTTTTTCACGTTTTCAAACTGTTTTCAGTAATGAAACTGTGTTCAAATGAGGTCTTATCTGAATCAGCATGAAATGAGATTAAACAAATCCCCATATGGCCGTATCCACATTTTATTTGATGGCTCATGAAGCGACTCCTGGGATGGGTTAATGTTAGGCATGAAACCACGCTCTGTTAAAAAGCCCCATTTGATAGATGAGGAAAACGAGGCCCAAAGAATGAGAGCCAATGGCAAATACTCCATAGGAGAAGCCAGATCTCCCGGCTCATTAATTCATGAGCCAGTAATTACACATGTTCATAACCCAAATGAAGGTTGTCAGTTAAGCAGTCTTTTATATAGGCCTCTTGGAATTATATAAGTCAAGAGTCAATATCCCAAATGGATAGAAGCCTTTGATGTAGTTTTTCTTGACATGTGGGTATCCAAGATGTTTTGCTTTAACAATAAACAGAAGCATATGCTAAAATTTTATTTTGGGAACCACTTCAAGAGATCACACATTAGGTTTAAAATCAGAATGCTAACCTGATCTTGTACATTTTTGTTCCACAAGGAGGAATGATCTTTACAGCAGTATTTTGGAAGGAGTTGGCGTGGAAGGAAACCTTATCTCTATGAGTAAAACCGTGCTTATGGATACTCTGCAAGAGCTTCTTTCCTGAATTAGGGGCATTTAAAAGATTCTTTGATTTTTTTTTTTAATTCACAGGTTTCCATTTTCAACCCCAGAAAGAGGAAATAAGTTATCCTCATAGTTATCGCACTGAGCACCTACCTACACTCGTACATTACACCGTGTGGCCCAGTCGCTCACTTTGTGTGGGAGGTGTGTTGGGCTGAGCTGTTATTGCAGAGGAACCTTTGCTCTGAATTGACTTCCTGTCCATGTCAGTCACTGCACCATCTGACACCACTTAGGCTTTGGTTTTCATTATGCAAATGCCTGCTAGGTCAGACCTTACCCTGGCAGGCACAGTAGCTTTTTAAGTTATCTCAGAATTTAATGTTTGTTGATTTCCTTTTTCCAGAAAAATCTGTGTTGTTTAACATATGGGTCATGAGTTGTTACTTGAAATTCATGACTTGTTGGTAGTCAATATGAAACAAAACAAAACAAAGTTTTACTAACTAGACTACATAGGATGTGAAAAACAAGTTTACATCTGAGAACTTTTCAGCAGGGGGAGTGGAGGTGAGACCATTACTTTGTCACATCTGGGTAGTCTAAGCTAGCCAAATTGAAGTGGGAATTTCCTGCCAGATGTTAGTTCTTTGAGCAACCTGTGAACATCTAAAAGAGGGTATATGAGTTCTTATTTGGTAGAGCTATAGACACCATGGAGGTTTGCTCCTAATAGGTAGCAGGTATTTTTATGTACTACCACTAGTCAAGAGGTTGTGCAGCCTGTCCGAAGCTAACAGTTTGCCCTTGTAAAATGCTTCAGTATGGAAGGCGAATTTGGAAGATACAACATCAGGTCTCACAGCTATTATAGCAAGAGTGAACACTGCATTGAAATGACCTCCCACTGCAGATGACAAAATGTTTTGTTTCATTAATAAAAGCAGGTAAGATTGAACCACCCCAAGCATTCCAGATAATTTGAATAGGTCATTTTATAAAGTCAGTGAAGACCAACATAAGCCTCTAAATATGAAGGAAAATAATCTGAAATGGCAGGAAACATAGCAAGTATTTACACCAGCTTCCTGTTCCAGATGCACATGGGAATTAGGAAGCAAAAATTTAACTCAGAAGAATTGTGCACAAAAAGTAGAAATGCTTTATCCAGTGAAACAAGAAACATTTTTAAGAGGAAAAAAGACTTTGCACATGATCTCACTGTTTTTGTCATCCTCTGTAAGGGAAAATATTGACATTTACCAGACTGTTTGCTCCAGCTTTCTGATCTCCTGCAGTTTATTTTTATAACAACCTTATCGATGGGCCTCTTACCCAGCTCTCTAGGTTTAACTGAGTTGAGTCGATTTGTTACCACAGCTTCAAGTAGCTGTTACAGAACAAGCAAGACATCCTAATAAAGCTGTAAACGTGTTTACTCAAACAGAGTATTGATTTTACTCGGAGAGGGAGAAGCCGGTGGTTAGCAGTGTCAGGGTGGATGAATTTCGCTGCAGTTTTTCACTGTCATCTGTCATGGTTGTGAAACACTAAGTAAAGCCATCAGGGATAATTAGAAGTACCAGAAATTTAGCCCCTAAAATCAGTTAACCACTTGGGAGTTTTGTAGCTTAATTAGCTTTTATTAAAAATTTCCTCTAGTTATAATAGTCAAGCACTTTTAATGGTGCTTTCAGGTAGAGCAAGATTTCAAGGTTGTGACTTGTTAAGTATATGAATTTATGGGTAAAGGCTTTTCAGACTCTCACTCAGTAATTAGGCCAACACTAAAACACCAGGTAAAGAGACGGTGATCTTGTACTCGTACCAGCAGCAGTACATGCTTTTTCTGAAAAATCAATTTCAGGGAAGTAGTAAAGCAATTATAAAATATTTAAAACACGTCTTTGTAGAAAAAAAATCTGGTAAACATCTTTTTTCTTTTTTAATTCTTATCTGAAGATGTGTTTTTATAAATTTTGAAAGAGAGAGAGAAACATCGATGTGAGAGAGAAACATCGATCAGTTGCCTCCAAAACATGCCCCAGCGGGGAATCGAACCCACAACAGCTAGGTATGTGCTCTGACCAGAATCTAACCCAAAACCTTTTGGTGTATCGGATGACATTCTAATCAGCTGAGCCACCCAGCCAGGGCTGGTTAGCATCTTTATTAAACTTAAATATTTTTGTAATACAACATGATCCAAACACATAAAAGTGTCACTGCCACCCTTGTTTTTAAATACCTTCCTTCATTAAAGAAGAATCTAAAATACTCTATCCTGCTATAAATTAGTCGTCATAGTAAAGATAAAAGTGAATGCACAGCTGTGCAAAAGATAAGGGTTCGGACAAGGTGAGTTGCTCACCTTCTACAGAAACTGACTTCGCTAATGACCTTGACGAAAGGTATTCAAATAAACACTATCTGCCCTCTTGCAAATGGCTAGAAAAACGCATGATGATGAACGCAAAACTGAAAATTTATTAAAAATAAGTGTGATCATTATATTTAAATTAGTCTTCTCATATCTTCTCAAAGTTAAGTGAAACCTAGGACTAAAATCAAGAATATAACCTTGTAAACAATATTTATTCAGTGCCTTACAGTAAACTTTTGCCTTCTTGCACTACTGCCCCAGCCCCTGCCTTAATAACTAATAAAAATAACGATATCTGAGGGATGACCAGTTCTACAGCCTATGAGTAACAGACTCTGTTAAAAAGGACAGTGAAAGATATTGGAGGGTTTTCTTTGCCTTTCAAATGTCATGTAAGCCAAGCAAGTTGTAAAATTTTGTTATGTAAGAGGGAACCACCAGAGCTTTTTCTTTTAATTTTTCAGCAAGTAAAGGAGGAAACTGTTTTTTTCACAGTAGTATTTGGATCTTTATTCTATATTAAAATATTCAAAGACAGTCAGAGGTAAAAGAAAGGATATGGATGTATTATTATAATACTAGAGGCCCAGTGCACGAATTTATGCAGCGGTGGGGTCCCTTGGCCTGGCCTGCACCCTCTTGCAATCCGGGACCCCTCAGAGGATGTCAGAGAGCCGGTTTTGGCCCAATCCCCGCAGGCCAGGCCGAGGCACCCACTGGTGCATGAATCCCTGCACTGGGCCCCTAGTATGCATATAAGATCTTTGGTTAATCTCTTCCCACCCTCCCCGCTTCCCTCTGAGATTCATCAGTCTGTGCCATGTTCCCATGCCTCTGCATTGAGCATCTGCCCCCTGGTGGTCAATGCACGTCATAGCTACTGGTTGAATGGTCGCTTAGGCTTTTATATATATAGACATCATACTGTTTTTATATGCACATTTCAAAATCCCCCACAATACAATCATTTATTTTGTTCTCTTCAATTTTCTTAAGAATGACAAATATGTGAAGGAGCTATTGGCATGGAAGGCAGGGTAAAATATAGTAGGGCAGTCATGCTTTGGCTTTAAGAGACTTTTCATCTGACTCCTTTGGTCAAAAGGAACAGAAACCCATTTCATCTAGCTTATAAGGATTTTTTGTTTTTAAGGAAGCACAAAGCATTAAGGGAGACAGTGGGTCAAAAGTCATGGTACTATCATTAACTAGTTGTGGGACTATGGACCATTAACATCTCTAAGCCTCAGTTTCCTCACCTATAAAAATGAGGATGCCTAGCCTGTGTGGTTCTGGTTGATCATCAACCCATGAACCAGAAAGTCACAACTCGATTCCCAGTCAGGGCACATGCCCACGTTGTGGACTCGATCCCCAGTAGGGGGCATTCAGGAGGCAGCCAATCAATGATTCTCTCATCATTGATGTTTCTATGCCTCTGTCTCTCTCTCCTCTCTCTGAAATCAATAAAAACATTTATTTAAGTAAAAATGAGGGTAATGAGTACCTACCTCATTTGGGTTATTATGCAAGTTAAATGAAATAATGTTTCATAGTAAGGATTCATTATTATAAAAGAAATCTCAAACAACAGCCAACTAAACAAGTTTTCACTGAGAGTGGAGACATATGGTAATTCTAGATTGGAATCAGTTCTAGAGACCCCAACAGCAGACATTCATGGATTTTCATTCCAGTACTTACACATTAATGTTACTCAGCTGCATTGCATGTCTGCTTCTTCCTACTTCACAATCAGTTTCCTGGTCTTTGCTTTCCATTCTGGCTCCTGAAAGAGAATACTAGGCTAGCTTAATTATTAAGTAGGATCCTGGAAGAACTTTAAGTTGTTTGCTCTTGGGTCAGATGCCTTCCCTTTGGTCCAATTAGTAATAAAGGTTTATTTATAGGACAAAACACATCTACTGACTCCTCAGCAATACTGGAGGTGAAGTAATTATTTCTCAAAAGAGTATTTGATGGCTGGGCTCTACAAACATGTATGTTTTCATGCCATGTCTAAGCCCTTTTTAAATGTTCCCTGCAGCATGACACAATACACAGAACATCAAACACCCTAAATCTCAAGCTAGAAACCTAGGAGTCATTCTTGATGGCTTCCTTTTCCTCTGTTCAGTCTTCAGTGAGTTCTTTTGATTCAATTTTAAGGTCTAATTCATCTACTTTCTTGCCAGGACTTTAGCTCAGGCCTGTTTTCTACTTACTACAATAGCTTCCTAGCTGATCTCCATACTTTACTTTCTCTTGAATTATTTCATTTCCCCCCGCTCCCCCCCAGCTAACAATCTTTCAGTGGCTTATAGTTGCACTTAGACTAAAAATCTAAGCTCCTATTGTGGCCTAAGAGGATCTATATGGCCTTCTATCCTTACAAGTGCATTTCATGCCACTCTACCTTTGCTTGGGTCCTCTGGCTATACTGATCTTCTTTCAGGCCTTAGATACTTTTACACACAGAGTTCCCTTTGCCTAGAATGTTCTCCATCTACTCTTTACATGGCTATCTCTTTCTCTAGCCTCAACTTAAAAGTTACCTCTTCTCTAATCATCCTAAATAACATGGATCCTTTCACTATTATTCTCTACTGCTACATATAGTCTTTTTCCTTAATAGCACTTAATACTCTCTGGAATTATCTTATTATTTTAATTACTAATTTATTATGTGTTTTTATCTCCCCAATTAAAATATAAGCTTCAAGAGAGTAGTATGTGTCTTAATCACTAGTGTATCCCCAGAACCCAACATGGTGCCTGGCATAGAGTTGCTACTGAGTAAATGTCAGGCATATGGATGAATAAATAAATCACATTACCAGCTGCAAACAAATTTGCCCCTACCATTAAATAAAAACCATTCTAGTCAGTATATCTAAGAAAGTGGTTTTTGAAGGATTTTATCAAAAAGAATGAAGTGAGTCAGGAAATTGCAGGGTAGGCCATACTTTAGTATCAAGTCATTTGATTTAAAATTAATCCATGCTAGCATGTATATGTGACTAATCCAGTGACAGAGAAACAACTGATCACAGCTACCTTTTTCTTACTGTTACTTAAAATAGAGATAAATATGGGGAGAACACATCTTAGGAAAGGAGGTAGCATCTAATATCCATTGTCCTAAGTACCTGTAGTAAAAATTGAAAACTAATTCTCAGTATCGTAATACTGAACATCAGTTTCTACTGTAATAAACAGTGGCAAACAGGTCAGAGGCTCCAATCAATATTTCACAGAATACATTGGTTATCCAGTGGATCTTTAAATTTAGTTTGCCAAGAGTAATTTATCAGATATAGAGGTCAAAGTAGTAATTATAAAGATGACTGGAACATAGTGAGAACTACAACAGCATGAAAACGAACCAGTCAGAAATGAAGAATACCCTATCTGATATCAAAAATACACTGGAAGGAATAAAAAGTAGGTTGGATGAAGCAGAAGATCAAGTCAGCAATTTGGAAGACAGGTAGGAAAAACACCCAATCAGAGAAGCAAAAAGAGATAAGAATTTAAAAGAATGGGGAGCCTGGTAGGTGTGGCTCAGTTGGTT